CTTTTACCTCAGCCAAATCTGGGAGCTTAGTGAGAAATAGGTTGTCTTCATTGGAGATGAGAGGAGGGATAAAGGGCAGAATATTGCCCAAATCAGGAATGGAAGTTGCTGGAGCTTGGAATTGGTTCTGAAAGTGTCTGATAGCTTCTTGTTTGATGTCATCCATGTTATTGAGTCCCTTGCCATTCCCATCAATGATGTGAGAAATTTGAAGCTTCTTTCTTTTTCCCTTTGCAAAAGCTTGGAAGAGTTTGGTGTTAGAGTCTCCCTTGTCTAGCCATCTGATTTGAGCTTTTTGCCTCCAATATTCCACCTCCATGTTCGTCGCTACGATCAGTACAGCATTGTCCCTTTGAGCAGCAGTTCTGTTTTCCTCATTTGGGAAGTCCTCGAATTCTTTTTGGCTTTGGTTGGCCCTTGCTTCGGCTTCTTTGAGTTTAGAGTGAATGTTTCCAAAAGTATCTTTATTCCATTTCTTCAGGGTTTGCTTCACAGCTTTAAGTTTCTGAAGGAGACCTCTCATACCTCTAGTGGTAGGGGAATTTTCCCAAGAAAGCTTGACAGTATGGAGGAAGTTCTCATGAAGGGTCCAGGTGTTTAGAAATCTGAAAGGCTTGGGAGTATTGGGAATCTGGTCATTACAGTGCAGGAGAATGGGTTTGTGATCAGAGTTGGCTTTGGCAAGGTGATGAAGCTCCACATCTTGAAAGTAGGCGAGAAGGTCCAGGTGAATCATTACTCTGTCTAGTCTACGCCAGGTCCTGCCTTGGGAGTGTACACCTGACCATGTGAAGGTACTACCAATGGGATCTAGATTGATGAGTTTGCAGTGAAGGATGCATGAATTTAAGTCCTCCATACTAAGTTGGTTTGGAGGGCAGGTTCCTTTTGACTCATGTGGTGAGGTAATGGCATTAAAATCCCCACCAACTATCCAGCGTTTGTTTGAGGGACAAATTGTAGAAAGTTCCTCCCAGAGCTCCTTCCTAGCCAAGATCGTGTGAGCACCATAAACCCCAGAAATCAAAATGGGAGAGTTGTCCATTTGAAGGGTGAAAAGGCAACTGGTTACTTGTGGGAAATCTGAGAAGGAGATGAGTTTAAGACATGACTCGTTCCAGAAGATCCATTTCTTATTATTTTGGGATCCAAGACTATGTGAGAAGTTGAGTTTAATACGGAAGGATTCAAGCTAGGAAGGGTTAACCATAGGTTCCAAAATGCATAAGTAGTCTAAATCATGTGCTCTCCTTAGGGAAATTAGTCTGTTGAGAGAGGAGGCAGCTCCACAGACATTCCAGAAAAGGAGTTCCATAAAAGAACCTTGGGTGGGGGTACATCTTTAGAAGTTTTGCTTTGAGTCATCACCGAGGATGGTGGAATATCTTTTCTGGGTTTGCGGTGTTTAGGAAACGATATGGATTGTTTGGAACATCTTCCAACATCCAAATGGAAGGGAATTGGGGGTGATGTGGTGAAAGGTTTATCATTCTCCCCTCCATCAGAGTGGCAAACAAAAGGAATGGATTCCTCCAGAACGGAGCTGCTGTCTGATTTGGCTTCCCAAGTTGGTTGAAGTTGATCATTAATCCAGCAGTCATCTTTGCTACCTGGCCTGGGTGGTTCATCATTTGTTGGTGGAAAAACTCCCAGTGGGTAAGAGTCTTCCTGGAAGGGGTTAAACGGGATAATATCCATGCAAGGTTGGGGTTTGGGAACATGGAGGAAAGAAAGGTCAAGAAGAGATCCTGACTGGTGGGACTGAAGAGTAGGCTTGGAGGGAAAGGACTTACTTGTGATGGGTGGGGGGCAATTGGTATCCTCTTCAGGTACATCTTCCACCATAGGCATCAGGTCTTCCCAGTGAACCTGTTTTGGCGTATGGTTGGTTGAGGGCTCACCCTTTTGGACGTGAGTGTTTGAAAACTTGGATATGCCCTCTGGTCCTTTACTCTTGTTGCTTTTGTCCTGTTGTTGTTGGTGTATTGGTTTGTATCTGAAAGCCCCATGCACTGCATATTGGTTTAATGAGGGACCCCCCATTACTCTTTCGCCAGACTTGTTGTGTCGTTTGCTAGGGACCATTTTCCAATCATGCTGATTATTCTGAAATCCAGACGCTCCCATATGACTCACCTCCCTGGTCGGAGCAATGACAGGGAGGTTCTCCGGCGTTTTTTTCCGGCAGGATTGAAGGTTGTGTCCAAACCTGTGACATATTGGGCAGTAAAGGGGAGGGTTTTCAAATCTGCAGGGTAACCAGAGATCTTTAGTTCCAAGCCTGAGACGAATATGAGAAGGAAAGGGGATGGACAGGTCTCTCTCAATGCAGACCCTAATCTGGTCGGGTTTAACTCCAATGACCGAGTTGGAGTCCAGCTTGATTGGTTTCCCAAGAGCAGAAGCTATTGAGAAGATTGCTTTGTGGTCATTTAGGTGAATGGGGAAGTTCTTCAACTCAACCCAAAGAGGGAAGAGAGGTGAGTCTGCTGAGGGTTCATGCTCCGGCAACCACTTGCAAATAGTGATGATACATCCTTTAATTTTCCACCTCCTTCTTGAAAACCAGCGAAGGTAGTCTTCTTCATGTTTAAAGATGAAGAGGAGCTCATTGGATTGAAGCCTTCGTAATTTGAATTCCTTGAATCTGCCCTTGATTAAGAAATCTTCAACCTCGGATAGGTGGACTCGGCTACTGCATCTTCCTACTAGTGTCTGTGAGAATTTCCCGGCCAGCTTCCTTTCCTCCTCCGCCGTGAAGGATATTGAGGGGGAGTTTTTATAGAAACCACATACTGTGCCCGGGAAATCTCCAGGTTCCCCATGGAAGAGCTCGGAGAAAAGTGTACGCCGTGGTAGGGAATGGACAGAACTAAGGTTTTCCGGTCACTTGCCGGTGGCCGGAAATTTAGAGAGAGAATTCATCCTTGATATATATATATATATATATGATATATATATATATTCATATATATATATATATATACATATATATACATATATATATATATATATATTTGAAAAGTAGATTTTATTTTTATTAATAGGAAATGAAAAAGTAATACAAGAGAGGGGGGTGGCCAACCCCTACAAACCGGCCAGAAAAAATACCAACTAAATATCAAACCAAAGACTACCAAAGAAATAAAACAAAAGAGTAAAGCTTGTGAAGATGATGCTGTGTCAGGCCAAGGGACTGAGCAATAGTCTCTTTCAGTAATTTTCAGCCCTTTTGAGTAGCTCTCAGTCGTACAAAAGTACCCTTTGGTCAATTATTAATACCCAAGATGCTGAATACATGTTTAAAGATGGATTCCAGCCAATGATCTATCTTGGAAAACCATGAAGAATTCCAAGCCAAGCAAAAAGGGACAGAGGACCAACTACCTTCACTTCCCAAATTTTAGACGATGCTAGAGTCCAACCATAGGAGAAAAAAAACCAGGAAGAGGTAGACCTGCGCCAGCTGTGGTCTCATATTTCACATTATTTAGAAGAAAACTGCTACCCAGCAGGAGCATCCCAACGCAGCTGTGAAATTACCCTTAGGTAATGGCATTTATGAAGAGATGAAAAACCAGTGCTCTAAAACGGATAAGCTGCAACTCCAAAACATAGGCTTGGAAACCAATAGGCAGTAACAAACAATAGGTAGATAACTCAAGAGAGGGGTTAGAGAAATAAAAATTACTGCAGGTCAATCAATAAGCATATTCTATCTCTTCATCGAAACCATAGTCAGAAAATTGAGACTACTTCTTTTTCTTCTTCATTTTCTTTTTTTGAGTTTTGGTTAGAGGTTTGCTGAGGGGTTTAGGATCTTCTATCTTGTTAGGACAACAAAGTTTGAAAAATTTGATAACCTCGTCCTCATGTGATTCTTGGGGATCTAAAGAGTCTTCTTCTTCGACCCAGCCGATAGGATTAAATTTTCTTCCTTGCTCAAGGATTTTAGGCTTACTCCTCGTAACAATTTGTGACGGTGAGTACGTCCTTCTTCCCTTTAGTTCCTTACGGAGATGGAGGGGGTGTTTGGAGCATCTTGAGAAGTCGATTTGCAAAGGTTTGAGCTTTGTGTCTATGAAAACAAAATCCTCCCCATCGGAGTGGGTATAGAGAATGGGTCCTTCCCTGTCCTTAGTGTGATCTTCCACTGCGTTGAGGGATAGAACCAAGCTTTGGCCATTGAGATTTGTAAAGGGGTCTTCTTCCGGCTCAGCAGTAGCTTTGAATCCTTGATCCTTAGTGAAAATATCAGCGTAGGAGTATATAGCGGGCACAAAGGTGGGAGCAAAAGGACTAAGGATTTTCCGTGGCAAAGGTGGAAACTCTTCGATTTGGCTGGTGGAAAGGCTGTAATTAGGAGCTGCTTCGTTCTGGAAAATAACTAGTTGCTTGTTAGTTACCACAGAGGTGGGATCTCCAACAAAGCCTTCAGAACTTGTGACATCTCCACTTCGCCGGGTATTTACATCCTGTCCTGTTGTAGGCAGCGATGAAGCAGAAAGGGTCCCTTGTGAGGACAGCTTTGGGGAGTTTGCAGGGGTAATTGGAGGGCCAAAAGGGGGATACAGACTCTCTGAAAATTCCAATTTTAGCAAGGTGGCTGAGATGGAGTTTGAAGGTTGTTGAAGAATATGTTGAGTCCAGGCACAAATTAAGGCATTGTCAACAAAAGGAGGGGGATGGGGAATAGAGGACCTTAAGTTGTCATAAATTTTCTTAAAGCAGGAGATGAACGAAATAATCCCAGAACCTTGATTACCTTCAGGGATGAGAACCCAGGTCTTGCCGTCTTGGTGATGCTCACAGATTTTGAAATGGTTACCAAATCTGTAGGAGTGAAAAGATATGGTGAGCAGTCTCCTCTTCTCCCTTCGGTAGGATGTATGCAGACCTCCGTCACACGTAAGAAACTAAAGCGCCTCTAGAAGCCAAGCACCAGTGTCCAACCCTAACCATATGTTGAAGTTTTTTTTTCCTATTTTTTCACTAACACAGATTTTCTTATTGAAAATCGATTTGGTGAAGGTGTAGATCTTACCTTCAATGCGAAATTTTGCCGGGCCCTGGGTTGTGGATTGGATTCTCTTTGGGGGTTCTCGCCTTAGGACTTCGGAAACTTGCAATTGGGCAAGAGGCGGAATGAGAATTGCAGTGGAATCACTTCTGCCATCTGCTTCTGCGGTTGTTGAGAATCCTCTAAGGACATCGATATAAGGGAGGGATGGAGGAGATCGCCTGTTGGATGGGCCGGTATCTCCGGGAAGATGCAGCGGCGTTGCAAGGTGTAAATCGTCGGTAGAAAGAACCGGAAAATCAGAGAAGCTCTCCCTTCTCTCTAAAACGTTCGCCATCGATATATATATATATACATATACATATACATATACATATATATATATATATATATATATATATATATATATATATATTTATTTATTTATTTATTTATTTAAAAGGATCTTTATTGATAAGGAAAGGAGTTACACTCTCGAAAGAAAAAATATACACACTAACAATCAGAATGAAGAACAACCCTTTTTTCCTTTTCTCCAAAATTTATCAATCTCCCAAGCATCAAAGTCTTTGTCATGAATTAGCCATTTCTTTTGTCGGTGAGTCCATGCCCAAGCCTGAATAAGCTTGCCAATTTGTTGGATAATTGTACGTGGGCTCATTGTGTTTCCATCATAGTTATAGGCGTTGCGCGCTTTCCATAAATTCCATGCGATAATTCCTGGGAGTATAATCTTAAGCGCTCCTTTGAAAGTTTTCAAGTTACCTCTTACCCACCATGAGATTGCATGTTGGCGAAGTAAGAGGTTTGAGCTGAGCATGGGAGCATCAACCAGGCCTGCGAAATAGTTCCATACAGTTTTGCTCTCTTTGCAGTTGAGGAGGCAGTGATCCAAATCTTCTTCAGAGTTAAAGCAGAAACCGCAGCGACTAGGGAGTGCTAGGTGGAACCTTCGAAGGTTTGTAGGGAAAGGAAGGCAGTTGTTGAAGATCTTCCATTGGAATAAACAAAGCTTTGGGATTTGCGCTTTGTGCCAGATAAATTTGGTTGAAAGAAGTGCAGGTAGCTGATCTTCAGTGGCTCTAAATGCTTGCTTGAGAGAGAATTGACCGTTATTCCAGAGGGCATGCCCGTTGTTCCATTGTGTGTGAGAGATGCCCAGAGAATGTATTCTACATATGCGTTTCCAAGTTGGGGAATCTGGGAAACGTTCTTTGATGCAGCCATCCTTCATGTATTTTGCTCGAACCAGTTTAGCCCAAGGACTATGATCATGTTGAGCTTTCCACCAAAGTTTAAGAGAGTATGCTGTTTCAATTTGAATCAGGCTCCTAATCCCGAGGCCCCCAACGTTCTTGTTTTGGCAAGTGAAGTTCCAGTTCCTCCAGTGGTATTTAGCCCTGCCATTCCTTTGGCCCCAAAGGAAGTTAGCCATAAGGGAATTGACCGTTTTGATGATGGATTTTGGGAGGGAATGGACGGCAATAAGGTGGAGTGGGATGGAGGAGAGGACATGTTTAATGAGAATAAGTCTTCCCATTTGATTGAGGGTTCTGCTATACCAGGAGGAGAGATGTTTGTATACATGGTCCAAGAGAGAATCACAGTCTTCTTTTTTGAAAATACCTCTACGTAAGGTGGCTCCCAAGTAGGTAAAGGGGAGGCTTCCACACTTCATGGACAGGGCTTTTTCCATCTTGACTTGTTGATCCGCAGTGGTGGATTTTGGAGTGTAGAATCTGCTTTTTGAGAGGTTTATCTGTTGCCCTGATGCCTGCATAAAAACTTTAAGAATTTGGTTAAGTTTAAGAAGGTTGAGGATGTCCCCTTTTGTAAAGATCATCAAGTCATCAGCGTAAATGAGATGGCTGGGCATCCAGACATTTCCCAAATTGAAACGCTTGATAGTGTTGCTCTCCATGGAGTGGTTTAGGTATCTGGAGAACGCTTCAAAGCCTAGTATGAAAAGAAGTGGAGAGAGGGGATCGCCTTGTTTAACTCCTCTGGTCATGGGGAAGAAACCGTGAGGTTCACCATTGATGAGGACAGAAATGAAAGAACTCCGGAGGTTTGCCATTAACAGCTTGCTCCCAACTTGTGAGAAACCAAACTTTCTAAGAGTGCCTTCAAGAAAGTTCCAGTTCATACAGTCCAAAGCTTTTGCCATGTCTATTTTGATGATAAGGTTACCCCCAAAAACCTTTCTATCTAGTCCATGTATGGCTTCTTGAGCAAGGAGAATATGGTCATCAATGGACTTACCTTTCTGAAAAGCTCCTTGTTCTGATGAGATGAGTTTGGGTAGCAGCAATTTAAGTCTGTTGGCAAGGAGTTTAGTATTAATTTTGCTGAGAAAAGTTGAGAGGGAGATGGGCCTAAAATCATCAAACCGTTTTGGATCTTCTTTCTTAAGAATCAAGGTGATAAGGGTACTGCCATATCCTTTTGGAATTGGGAGGCCGAGAAAGAATTCTTGCGAGGCAGTGAGAACATCCTGTTGGATTATATCCCAACAAACCCTGAAAAAATTACCATTAAAGCCATCCGGGCCACTGGCGCTGTCAGGGTCCAGGTCCCAAACGGTTGCTTTTACCTCAGCCAAATCTGGGAGCTTAGTGAGCAGAAGGTTGTCTTCAATTGAGATGAGAGATGGGATATAGGGCAGAATACTGCCCAAATCAGGAATGTAAGTTGCTGGAGCTTGGAACTGGTTCTGGAAATGTCTGATAGCTTCTTGTTTCATCTCATCCATGTTATTGAGCCCCTTGCCATTCCCATCTATGATGTGAGAAATTTGAAGCTTCTTTCTTTTCCCCTTTGCAAAAGCTTGGAAGAGCTTGGTATTAGAGTCTCCCTTGTCTAGCCATCTGATTTGAGCTTTTTGCATCCAAAATTCCATCTCCATGTTCGTGGCAATGATGAGTGCAGCATTGTCCCTTTGGGAATCTGGTCATTACAGTGTAGGAGAATGGGTTTGTGATCAGAGTTGGCTTTGGCAAGGTGATGAAGCTCCACATCTTGAAAGAAGGCAAGAAGGTCCAGGTGAATCATTACTCTGTCTAGTCTACGCCAGGTCCTTCCCTGGGAGCGTACACCTGACCATGTGAAGGTACTACCAATGGGATCCGGATTGATGAGTTTGCAGTGGAGGATGCAGGAGTTGAAATCCTCCATACTATGTTGGTTTGGAGGGCAGGTTCCTTTTGACTCATGTGGTGAGGTAATGGCATTAAAATCCCCGCCAACTATCCAGCGTTTGTTGGAGGGACAAATAGTAGAAAGTTCCTCCCAGAGATTCTTCCTAGCAGAGATCGTGTGGGCGCCGTAAACCCCAGAAATCATAATGGGAGAGTTGTCCATTTGAAGGGTGAAAAGGCAAGTGGTTACTTGAGGGAAATCTGAGTAGGAGATGAGTTTAAAGCATGACTCGTTCCAGAAGATCCATTTCTTATTATTTTGGGATCCAAGACTATGAGAGAAGTTGAGTTTAATACGAAAGGATTCAAGCTAGGAAGGGTTAACCATAGGTTCCAAAATACATAGGTAGTCTAAATTATGTGCTCTCCTTAGGGAAATTAGTCTGTTGAGAGAGGAGGCAGCTCCACAGACATTCCAGAAAAGGAGTTTCATAAAAGCACTTTGGATGGGGGTACATCTTAGGAAGTCTTGCTTCGAGTCATCACCGAGGATGGTGGAATATCTTTTCTAGGTTTGCGGTGTTTAGGGAATGATATGGATTGTTTGGAACAACGTCCAACATCCAAATGGAAGGGAATTGGGGGAGATGTGGTGAAAGGTTTATCATTCTCCCCTCCATCAGAGTGGCAAACATAAGGAATGGGTTCCTCGAAATTGGAGCTGCTGTCTGACTTGGTTTCCCAATTTGGTTGAAGTTGATCATTAATCCAGCAATCATCTTTGCTACCTGGCCTGGGTGGTTCTTCGTTTGTTGGAGGAAAAACTCCCAGTGGGTAAGAGTCTTCCTGGAAGGGGTTAAACGGGATAATATCCATGCAAGGTTGGGGTTTATGAACATTGAGGAAAGAAAGGTCAAGAAGAGATTCTGATTTATGGGCCTGAGGGGTGGGCATGGAGGGAATGGACTTACTTGTGAAGGGTGGGGGGCAATTGGTATCCTCTTCTGGTACATCTTCCACCATAGGCATCAGGTCTTCCCAATGAACCTGTTTTGGCGTACGGTTGGTTGATGGCTCACTGTTTTAGACGTGAGTGTTTGAAAACCTGCAGATGCCCACTGGTCCTTTACTCTTGTTTCTTTTGTCCTGGTGTTGTTGGTGTATTGGTTTGTATCTGAAAGCCCCATGCACTTCATAATGGTTTGATGAGGGACCCACCATTACTCTTTCTCCAGTCTTGTTGTGTCGTTTGCTAAAGACCATTTTCCAATCATGTTGAATATCCTGAAAGGGAGATGCTCTCATATGGCCCACCTCCTTGGCCGGAGCAATGCCAGGGAGGTTCTCCGGCGTTTTTTTCTGGCAAGATTGAAGGTTGTGCCCAAACCTGTGACATACTGAGTAGTAGTGAGGAGGGTTTTCAAATCTGCAGGGTAGCCAGAGATCTTTAGTTCCAAGCCTGAGATGAATATGAGAAGGAAAGGGGATGGACAAGTCTCTCTCCACGCAGACCCTAATCTGGTCGGGTTTAACTCCAATGACTGAATTGGAGTCCAGTTTGATTGGTTTCCCAAGAGCAGAAGCTATTGAGAAGATTGCTTTGTGATCATTGAGGTGAATGGGGAAGTTCTTCATCTCAACCCAGAGAGGGAAGAGGGGTGAGTCTGCAAAGGGTTCATGCTCCGGCGTCCACTGTCACCCAAGCGGTCGACCGCCGGTGGCTGACGGTCGACCGTCGCCCGTCCATCCGAAATCCGCCATATGCAGCCAGTCAACAACGGTTGACCGCCGGTCAACCACGGTCGACCGTCACGGTGATTTCTCCAACCCGACGCGATGAAGCTCAAGGTCGACCGTCACGCCAAACGGTCGACCGTTCCGAGCCCCGTAGCTTGATTAAATGATATTTTTATCAGATTTCATCCAAATAAAATAAAGTATATTTATCTAATCATGTTGTTTACAAATTGTTCATATCTTGTCATTCATTTCATCATTTATATTGAGCATATCACAACATGTGCATGCGTAAGAAATCATGCGTAATTGCGTCTCTTATAGCCATATCACATCATATGCATGCGAAAGAGATCATGCGTAATTGCGTCTCTTGTAGCGTGATGTGCGGGACTTATTAGTCTGACATCACCCATTCCGGGCTTAGTGTGCGTACATGGTATTCAGGCTTCGAGTACCACCCCCATTTTGTCTGCGTGAGTTCGTCGTACGAAATGGGCGAATCTCATAGCGCAAGGGTGTCCTTGCTCGTTAGAATCATGCATCATGTTATCATCATCAAGTACATCGATTACATAGGTGTCATGTAATCATCATCAAGAACAAGTATATTAATTACATCAGTATCATGTACTCATCCTCACAAGCAAATTGATTAAACGTGCCATCATGTAATTTTTATTAAATATTTATCATCATGATTCATCAAATCGTCCATATGATATAATGTGTCATATCATGAATATTATTATACATTTTATGGACATATATATATATATATATGTATATGTATATGTCTGTGAATCATCCTACAATTCTAGCACGGTACCACTCAGCGGTTTCGCTGAGCATGTAGTTTGTATTTTTCGTTGACTACACGTAGGTAACAAGAAGACAATGATGGAACCATTCTCGGAGGGCATTGAGTCAAAGGAGATGCAAGGGTGGCAGGCAAATGTTTGATCATCAAATTTTAAAAGTGATTTGATTATTATTGTACTTCCACATTACTCTGAAAATATTTTTAAATGGGTCGCGATCCAGAGTCTGTAAATTTGATATTTATAAGCAATTGTCATTTTCAAATGTCAAGCGAAATTTTTATTTAACCCTGGTTTCACCTTAATTCGTGTAATTCCGGGTTATACGGATTGGGGTGTTACACAAAAATTAGCCCGTTGTGCATCCCTCTCTCCGATTGAAGTCGTCCGTCTTCGATTGAAGATGCCTTTGTCTGGTTCCGTCTCCAGCTCCCCGATCAAAGAAAAGACTCAGCGGTCAGGTCCGAGATTCTACCTTTCTACAACTCCATCTCAACGTCCAAGTTTTATCTTTCTATCTGAAGACTTCCAACATATCACTGGCTTTTGCTATTTTTTTGTATTATTGTCTGAATTGCAAAATGCAAGAATCAAGATTGCACCGTATTTTTTCCTAATTTATGATTTATGCAGCCCCTATTTTATCTAATTGAATCTGACTTGATGATATGAGTTACTTTTTCAATTGTGCAAGTGTCATATTATGATTGATTGATTGCGAGGAAGTGAGGTGTGAACTATTAAAGGGGCTCCCCATTGTGTTGTATTTATGCTTCTTACTACCTCCGTCCCATTGTTTTTGTCCACATTTGACTTTTGAAACTGTTCATCTAAGCACTTTGACTCATCAAATTCTCTTAATGTGTAAGCCTACAAATAGTCACGTGTGATCTTGTTTGATTTGTCTTAACATATAGATTATTAATATATAATTTGTATAATTTTTTAATATACAAAATACAAGATAAAATGGATTAAAGAAGTGCATTGGATGATGTGTCAAAAGGTAAGTGGACAAACACAGTGGGACGGAGGGAGTATTTTTTAAAATCATCTACTTTATTTTTAAATGCTGACACACTGGTCGCATAAATAGAGAAGTAAGAAGAAATCAATGACACGTGTGGAGGACAAATGGATGTTCAAAGAGGCCATTGTAGCTAATATGAAAAGCATCTTCAAGACTTTTCATCTTAAGGTATAATTAAATTTCCAGACACAAAAGTCGGCGTCCTCCCTCTTGAGAAATAATATTAATTTGCTACTATTGTCTTTAAACTTTTTCTTATTCTGCTACAAAATCGTGGGTCGATTTTGTAAACTTTTTCTATTGTAAATTTTAAAACAAATTTTAAACTTTTAGTTTAGCTCTTACAACGAATTCTAGGGCTGGACGTGCATTTTAGGAGTTTAAATAGATGATGAAGCTTCGCAGAGGTAGTTCTTAATGTTCAACTTTTTGCTAAGAAGAGTGCTACTGTGAGTTGATTGTGGCAATAACACTAGTACAAAAATGATCAAATAAATCGCCTCATTTGCATCGTTAAGCTAAACAAACGATGTAAATGCAAAAAAAAATTCGCGTATCGCTTAGCTTTTGGATCGGTTATCCGTAATAACCGATGCAAAAAGTATTTGAATCGGTTATCACGGATAACCGATTTAAAAGCTGACAATCTTTTGGATCGGTTATTCCTTATAACCGATTTAAATACCTTTTGAATCGGTTATTAGTAATAACCGATCCAAAAGAGTGTGATAAAATTAGCCAACCCTACCTTATCCTTACGCGTTTTTGAAAAAAAAAACCTCCAATTCCGTTCTTCGTCTTCGTCGTGCTCGCCGTTGCTCAGCCAAGCCGTCGCTGTTCGCGTCGCCATTGCTCAGCTTCGTTGCCTTTGTTCTTCAACTCCCCACCACGCTGTCGCCTTTCCCATGTCGCCCCCAAATCTGGTCTAATTGCGCCGCCCTCGTCCACCTTACCCTCGACGTTCGCCATTGTTAGTGTCGCTGTCTCAAAGGGAACGGCGACAACGTCGACGACCACCTCACCCTGCCTCCGTCACCAAGCCGTCGCCAAGCCGCCGTCGCTAAGCCGTATTTGCTGCCCCGCCGTCGCCAAGCCGTCGTCCCTTCCTTAAGGTATTTTTTTAGCTTTAAATATTTAATTATACTATTATTTGTTTATATATTTTTGCATTAAGTTAATATTTAATTTACTATATATGTTTTGTGTACATGTTTAAGTTGAAATGTTTCATTGTGATATACATTGTTTTTCAAAAATAGATTGTTTAATTATTTTGTGTTTGATTCTACATGTTCTGAGACGTTATAATATAGAAATAACATATATTGACCGACCTAGATACCCGTTTAAAATTTACTCATTAGGAGTAAATTTTAAATAGCTCCCAGTTTGGAGCTGTTCTTGAAATGCTTCTCTCACTTAGGTTGTACATGTATTTCTTTCTCTTTGTTCCATCATATGTATATCTATATATATATATGTATGTATATATGTATATATATATATATATATATATATATATCTATATATATATATATATCTATATATATGTATATATATATATATATATATATATATATATATATCAAGAACACATTATAATCTTCATTTTATGTCGGATTAGATAATTGTTGGGCTGGTTTGATAGGGGTCCCTAAAGATTAGATTTTAACCTCATATTCTATAAGTTGTCTGTGCTCTTTTTAAAAGAAGGTAGTTATTCTCATTTCTTCTTCTCGCTGATTTTTTTCTAATAATATTTTATGCTCTCGTCAATGTCTATTTTCTAATATCACAACTGAAGACGTGAGGGACTAATTGAGAAAAACTGGTTGTTACTTTCTAAGAGTATTGTGGACCAATTGACTACGACATGTAATATCTTANGATGGCATGTATTATGGGGTTAAATGATGCATCCGATGAGTTTTTTGATGTACCTAAGCCATTACATTTGGATCAATCAGATAATGCTTGGCCATCTGACTTTGTGCTAGAGATGTCCTCTCAGGTAGTGTGTTACACCTTTGGCATTTGCAATGTTATAACATGACAAAGCTCTAACTTCATGCTGGTCATGTTATACTTAAGCAATCCTTATAACTATAAACTAAGTCATTAATTCATTCTGGTCATGGACAAACATTTGTCTACACATCCATGAAGTTAACAATTTGATTGTTTGGTGATCTATATGATCCCATTTACTAGCCTCAATAGTGCATGCAGATGTTTTTTCATCTTCAAATTCAAGAATTTAATTGTTTCATGATTTCTTTCTTCTAGGATACATAGCATACAAAAGTTTCACTTGGTGCTGTTTTGGTGAAGAAAGTGCATGTTATTGCAGGTTAGTTTCAAAGGACTTTTTCCAGAAAATACTGAACACCTGACAGTTTGAATAAGAGAAGTGAGAATAAAAGAAGTTGTAATTTCCCTTGCAGATGGAGCGAAACAGATCCCTCCACTTCTCTAATACGCGGAGAAAATTTAGATGATCGTCAGAAGGTGGATTACATTAAAACTAAGCTTAAGAATACACCCCACTCAAGTCCAATACAAACTTTCTAACATTACCCGTTTTCCGCATGATGTTCTATATATTAAAGCAAGAGCCACATTGATGCAAATGGTCAGTGAAGATTGGTTGAAATCGGATAAACAGGAAGATGATCTTGATGGTCGGGAAGGGAGCATTGTTCAGGTTTTTCCATATATCAATGGGTATTCACATTTCATCCTACATTTTTTCTAATATAATGATCCGGTTAACTTCCAAACAGTTTTTAGAATCCAATTCCAAGGTCATCTATGAGGTTGGTGTGTATTACCTTTACGCTGTAAAAATATGCTGCAAAGTGTGGGCCGGACTTCTTCTTCTTCATTCTTCACATACAGGTGAAAATTTAGTTTGTTGTACACATTCTTCTCTTCTTTTAATAGCATTCTAAAAATAAAATTGTGATTTCTAACAATCAGGTCCCTGGATCAACAACATATAGTCTTGCTTTATACTATATGATGGCTAATCATCAAAAAGATACATATTTACTTAAAAGCTTTGTAAAAGGGGATGATGCTTAAAGAAATTCAAGGTTCAAACTTATACCTTTCATATCCAAGGTTTGTAATCTTTTTGCAACATCAGTCGTTACATCTCCCTTCCTCCCTCTGTCTATTCCCAAATATCAATCTCTTAAGGTTTTTTATTTTGTCTAAACTTACCCTTCTACCCCTATTAATTCTTTTGAATTTTCAATGACCGTAGATATTCCAAACAGAGTGTCGGGCGGAAAGCATGCCTTATAAGGCAAGCGTTAGAGGTAAATTATTTCCACACGAAGAAGTACTTGGAGGTACGTGGCATAATAGTTCATGTTTTTTTTAATTTGAAAAAATCACTATCCATATAGCAATTAAAAAATGACAATATCGTTTCACCCATACTATATAGTATACACAAGTAGCTTATTCAGATTCGTTTTGATTGTGAGAACTACACATTAGTTGAAACGTATTTCCTAGATGTTCTTCAGGTTTGGGTGCTTTTTTAAGCCTTCGACTAAATGCACGGGTTCTATCTACATGATAGTGTTGAGGATGAAACTGTCGGTACAAACTTCATTTCTTTTTCTGACTAGGGAAAACTATAGGGCAGACTTGGATTCTTTAGTTTTTACGTCATTGGGGAGAAGTTGACGGAACTTTAAATATGCATCGTGATTTGTGCGTATAGGTCTTCAAAACCTATAAAAAGCTAAACTCTGTATGTTAGCATTTAACAGTTAGCAGCCTCTTTTTTGTGACTCTGTATGTTACCATTTAATTTTGTTGAAATCAATGTTTGTATGCTAATATGATACAATGACCTCTAAATATTAAAAGTTACGACCTATAACAATCTAAGACCAACAGGTTGTGACAGAGGATGCTGTAGCACTACTTAACACCAAGTTATCAGACGCTGACCATGTAGTTTGTATTTTTCGTTGACTACACGTAGGTAACAAGAAGACAATGATGGAACCATTCCCGGAGGGCATTGAGTCAGATGAGATGCAAGGATAGCAGGCAAATGTTTGACCATCAGATTTTAAAATGTGTCATGATTTGATTATTATTGTACTTCCGCATTACTCTGAAAATATTTTTAAATGGTTCGCGATCCAGAGTCTATAAATTTGATATTTATAAGTAATTGTCATTTTCAAATGTCAAGCGAAATTTTTATTTTATTCTCGTTTCACCTTATTTCGTGTAATTCCGGGTTATACTGATTGGGGTGTTACATTTTGGTATCAGAGCAAAACGATTTTCGGATCATTGAGTCAATATTTTCAAAGTCCTGCATCCGCATCCTCCACGACATCTCTGCCTCGGGAAGGTAATCAACAAGTAAGTTACTATGGCATAACACACAATCTTAACTCATTGAAAATTTGCTTCCTTTGAGTTGCTAGTATCCTCATAGACTCGATTACAACAAAGTTTAGATTGCCTCGAAATGTTCTTCGGCGATCACAGTCGACATCAGAAGATCAAGAAAAGGACTATAAACTCGACAAGCGCGACATATACTTATGTCATAGTACGCACATGGCTAAGTGAATAATGTGAATCAACTTCCCTCTACCCGAAGGATACGTTGAAGAAAGAACTTTCTCCAATAGGAAGTGAACGAATTCTCCAAAAGGTAAATCTGTCGTTTTCTAAAAGCATGAATAGAACCTCACAAACCAGATCGAATACGACATATGTATCGAATCTGAAACACCTTCTAGGAGTGAATCTACATACAAACATTAAGATAACTGACTCGTTCGTATACCCTATTAACGTGAAAGGTCGCAACAAGATGACAGTACAAAACAAGATGTGAAACCGTCACATCAATAGAGAAAGACTCGAAGATAAAGAAAAGGATTAATATTTACATGGTAAATATTGATGTTGGAAATAAATACTCTTCTGAAATGCACTGGTCATGCAGCTTAGAACGATATTTATGACTAACACATAATGTACATGGATAATATTATATTACAGATTCAACTCTAAGTCTAATCTTCCAGGATTTGCAAACTCTTCATAACTGGCACCAGGACCCGGGAAAGCATTAGCACTCTCTAGCTTGTCCAAAAGCTCATCAACAAAAAAAGAAGAAATAAAAAGTTTCCTCTGATTCAAAGCCATGAAGTTCTGCCTCACCGCATCATCTAGAAACTTGATTAGGTTATTGAAATAACCGTCAATGTTCAAAAGACCAATGGGTTTACTGTGTAACCCTTCGGATGCCCATGAGATCAAAGTGAATAAACCCTACATAGTGTCAATTCCTCCAGGAAGTACAATGAAGGCTTCCACAATATGATTCATCTCTAAATACTTATAGTAATTGCTGGAGACGGTGTACTCTGCACCATATGTTGGTCCATAGACCCCTCGTGTTGCTATATACCCAGGTATGAAACCTCTGACTCTACCACCATTATTATAGACTGTTGAAGCTACAGCTCCTTGAAGGCCAACGTTGCCTCCTCCGTAGGTAAGCCTGATTTTTTGCCTTACAAACTCCTGTCCTAGATCAACCGCTGTAGCCGTGAACCTTGGATTGCTACCAAGAGCATGACTACCAAGTAGACCAACGAATCTTATGGTATTAGGAAGAGCTCGAGAAGTTCCTTCCATAATGTGAGAATGTGAGACGCTCTTGCCATAATTTGATATATATACTCTGAAACTGGACCATTGATGGGAAAATAATTATTACCAGCCTAAAAACATACAGGAAAGTGGATTTGTTCCAGACAAGAATGTACTCGCCAATACTATAGTCTGCTGACGACATGACATATTGAGACTCATGAATAGTTAGGCTCATTGCCCTAAAATATGTTCAAATCCGAGACGAAAAGTCAAAATGACCATTTACCCCCTATTTGTAAAGGTTTAAATTAA